GGGAGGAAGCAAGCCAAGATAACAATAATAATGGGGAAAATGTTAGTAGAAAATTGCAATAAAATCATATTGTCATGCATGTTACTGTAGTTTGGATCTTGAACGGTCTCTGAAGTCCCATGTTTTATAGATTGGTGCCCAGATTTCGGCATAATTGGAGGTGGTAGAAGCGTGAGGAGAAGGGGCCTAGTGGAAGGAAGTTAGGTGGTTGAGTGAGTGTACTTAAGGGAATATTGGGTCTCTGGCTCCCTCTTGTCTCTCTTTTGCTTTCCAGCTTCCGTGAGGTGAGTGGAGTCTTTCACCCTGTGCTCCCACCATGAAGTGTTGCTTCATCACAGGCCCCAAAGCCATGGGGTCAACCGACCATGGATTCGGCCCCAAAACTGTAAGCCTCTGTTTAAGTTAATTATTCCAACTATTTTTCTTATGGTGACAGAAAATTGACTGATGCACAGTGTGATCCTTTTTATGTATTTACCTAAAATTAAATGCAAATGTTTTTGTATCCAAAAATTTGAAAGAAATAAACAGCGCAAATCTAATCAGTTCATTTCTCTCCTGAAAACCTGCCAAAGGCTCTTTGTTATCTTGTGGATAAATCCAGACCCTAACCTGACTCCAGACTCCTCAGGTCCCCTTTCCACTCTCCAAAAGATGGGTCCCTTCCTCATTCTTTGCTCATCTTCCTGAAGACTGTAGGTCCCTGTCCCCTTGTGCTGTCTCTAGCTCTTCCTTAGTTCTTCAAGATACCCACCCTGTCCTATTTTCCTGGATGGTTTTTATGTATATTAATATGTTGTACATAATTGAGGTGTACAACCTGGTGCTTTGGAGTTTATACACATAGTGAAAATATTCCTACTGACTAGGTCTCAGCCTCAGTATCTATTTCTCAGAGGGCTCTCCCTGTCCCCCAGATGTGGTTAGGTGTCGTAATATTTATTCCCAGGGTTCTCTGTCCTAATAAAATTTTACTTTATTATTTGCATCCCTTTCTAAATTTTGTCAGGTTTCCCTAGCTGCAGTCTGCAGCTTACTTGTATCTGAATTGAATAGGAGGAGCCCATAGAAGGGGCCCTAGCACTGTTGTCTGGGTCTCCTAATGGTAGAGGAAAGTGGAGATATTTCTCCAAACCTTCTTCACACTCACGGCTCTCTAAGCCACGAGGAGGCCATTAGTTCTCCAGAGGAAGCAGAAGGAAGTGTGTTATGAGAGCCCACATCATCTGTGAGGGCTGAGATGTCCTCCCCAGCATCGTCCCCCCATACCATCTATGCTGCTCTGGCCACCCGCATCCCTGGGCTACCAAGGGTTGCTCACTCTATCTCCCTGCTCCAATCTCACACGAGGAGCCCTCATGAAAGCCACTCTTGAAGTCCATCTGCCTGTGAGCCATGTTTAGGACAGGAAAGTAGGCTAATGTGAGGATGACCTCAAATTCCACTGAGTGTATGGGGCACTGGGGCCACTTGCTGTACCACCCAGCAAGGAGTAACCCAGGGTGGGTGATGTCAAGGGTGGGCAATGTGAGTGCATGACAGCCACGCTTGTCTAGCACTATTCTGCTTTCATTGTGTGTTTCTGATTAAACATGTCTATAGAAAAGAAAAAATATCCCCAAATTTTAAGAGTAAAAACCAATTTATTTCTTTTTCAGCCATATTGTTAAATTTTTAGAAATAATGATAGCTTTATTTCTGCAAGCAGCAGCATTTCTATATGCAGAAAAAGGGGCAACAGAGGAAGAAGACTTCTTTACTTTCTTATTTCCAGGAGATTTGTGGAGGCCAGACTCCCACCAAGGTCACTGCCTGCTGTAAGCTCAGAGAAAACATTCAGGTTTGAAAATGTGAGAATAGGTGGTGCTACGTGGATCTGTAAAACCTGGGGGTACTTATTCTAAGAGCTTTCTATAGTAAATAATCCATGCTGCCTGTCCCATTTGCAGTCACCCTGTTCTCTGTTCAGAGAGGATTGAGCTGGATAATAACCCCCATTAGCACCAGGGGAGGCTTCACATGTAAATCCCTTCACAAATGGGAGAGAAACGGGAGAGTCCTGCTTAGTAAATCAGTGTAAGTGGGTGTTAGCATTTTCCTTTAGAAAAATTCCCTTGGCGGCTTGATGTCTATGAAGGCAGCACGGTGGGGAGCTCTCAGTCTGAGGGGTGGGGCTGCTTCTCCTCCTCAGGATTATCCAGCATCTGAAGCCTCTTCTCCAACCTCTGCCTCCATTCCTCTCGGAGCCTGGGGAGGGCAAGAGTACAAGTAGCTGGTTAGTGCCTTTGTCTCCACAGCTGCCGGTCCACTGACCAGTTTTCCTTTTCTTCTCAGGAGTATTTTAAAACAATCCTGTGGCTTTTACAAATGAGTAAAGGAAAGGAACAGAAAAGTGGGTGAAGACTGTGACTAGGATACTTCCTTCAAATTTAATCCTTCAGGCTCAATGTAATTCCAATTAAAATCCTGGGCAGACTTTTCTGTCACCATCAATAAGCTGACTCTAAGTTTTAGATGGATGATCTGGGTACCTGTAGTTCTAGCTACTTGAGAGGCTAAGGTAGAAGCCCAGGAACTCAAGACCAGCCTGGGCAACATAGTGTCTCCATCTTGATGATGATGATGATGATGACTTTTGTTTTAGAAAGACAAACAAAGCAATTTTCCAATATAATTTTGAAGAAGGAAGTCGAAGGATTTATACTACCTAATTCTGAAGTTTAGCGCAAAACTATCATCATCAAGATAGTGTGGATTGGTTGGGCAAAGAAGAGAGTTCAGAAATAAATATACATTAACATGGCTAGGTGATTTTCGATAAGGAGTGGAGACACCTTGTTGCAGGAAGGATAGTCTTTTTAACAAATGGTCCTGGGACATTACATATCCATATTTAAGAATAGACTTTGGATGTGCTGTAGGCTGAGTATTTGTGCTCCCTCAAACTCAAATTGACATCCTAACCCCCGAGGTGATAGTAAATTCTGCACAATCATGGGCCCAGCAGAGAATGGGAAGAATCTGGAGGTGCTGGATGAGATGATAAACACTTAAAAAAAAAATCGCAATATACAAAAAAAGAAGGAAAAATTGAATTCACCTTAATTTTTCCACTCTAAAATGAGCATGGTACTTCATACTCTTTCCACATCCCAGTCTGTCTTCCTGAGAGAGACTCGCAGAGGTCAACGACTACAGCTTGAAGGGTATAAATATCATGATGCCTCTAGGCACCGAATCGACTCCAGGGAAACTTCTTACTTAAAACCCTACCCAGGTTTGGCCCAGGAAAGAATGGAAAAGAATGGGGAGAAGCGACCTGTGGCCTCGTGGTGCTTGTGGTTGAAGCACGTTAGCAACCAAGGACTGGGAACGGAAATGTTGACGAGGAGGAGGCGGGCAGTGGAGTAAGGGCCATGGGGGACACTGTCAGGACATCGGCTGTCATCCTCTTTCCACCTCAGATTTAGGTGAAAGAAGTGGCATAAACAGAGTCTGCCTGTTTGAACAGAGGTGGAAAAGCAGGGCATTGTTGCACCTGTGGTGGCAGCCACCTTGCTCAGGGGTCCTCGCACGCTGCAAGGTCAGAGACCATTTGTGTAAGTAATAAGGACTTGCTAATCTCATCTGATCTTCTGTTTTGATGTCCATCTATCATTAACTGCCACAACATGTTTCTTCATCATGATTATTAAGCGGTTGTCCTGTATTTTAATTCATGATCAACCTCTCCAGCAATCCGGACAATACCCTGCTCCCCAAGTGCTCCTTTCTCATGCCTGGAGCAACTAACCAGGCTCCTAGCGCATGACTTTTTCACCTGGGTTCTTTGACCCGTTGTTATGGCCTGCGTGTTGTATTGAACTTGATGCATTTCTTACCGTAAAATGGATTCATTTATTAACAAATAAAACTAATTCTTACATGGTATGGTGGCCATGGCCACGTGCCCCCAGATGTGGCAGGCAGAACTGGTTGGCAGTGTCAGCTCTATTTTGGCAGCTAATTGGGCAGTGACAGTAGCGTGGGATCGCAAATATGGCTGAATCTACCCCAAGTCAATGGCTCAGGCCAAATTTCTTGTGGGCCATTTCTAGCCAGTGGCTGAGCCTGGCAAAGTATTAAGGCAGGCTCATTTCTGCAAACACAGAATTTCATTAACAAGTAGCTTCAGTGTAAATCCTCTCCATCAGTCTGGTCTAAGTTTCTGAGGCCCACCTTGTGGTCTTCCTGTCCTACTTCCTTCCCTTTCTCCTGATCAGAGGTCAGGCCTGCATCACAGTCTGATCACTTTTGCTACCTGCTCTGCCTTTCTTTGAGTTGCTGGAGTTGGCAACTCAACTTTTGAGTTATTAAAGGTAGACATTATTAAAATTAAATTATATAAACTTTTAGTTAAGATATAGTAGAAACAATGACAAATACATACACAAAATTCATCACTACCTACTTAGTGAATTTTATAGTAACCATGCTCTTCTGGTTATTTCGGAGTACATAACTTTAGGGCAAAAGTGCTAAGCGATGGGGGACAACTGTCAAGCATCTCTTCAGAAGTTATCGTCATTGACGCTCTTGGTAGTTGGAAATAGACCCTGGGGGGAACATTCACACCATGGAAGTTGGCAGATTATAAACATGCATGACTTGATTTGCTGTTCTGTTCATTGTCTAGACAAAGGATTGATCCTCTTTCCAAGTCTGTGCAACTGTTTGTTTTTGTAGTAAAATGCTATCGGAATACAACTCTGCTTATTCGTTCAGGTATTTTGTTTACACATTGTTATAGCCATTTTCCCACTACAGTGGCAGAATGGGGTAGTTGCAACACAGACCATATGACTTGTGAAGCCAAAAATATTTACTCTCTGTTCCTTTTCAAAAAATATTTGCTGATCCCCGGCCTGGATTTCAGAGTTATGAAGAAAATCTTAATAATGCAGATTAAACCTAGAAGAGTATTCTGTCTGTATCTGTCACATTATGCCTAACAAAAAAAATGAAATATTCTTTCAGAATTAGAAAACAATTATGACCAATGACGTGACTTCTTTACTAAACTAGATAGTAATCAAACACTTACCTGTTGTCTGATTTTGTCAAATGGTGATTGAATGCAATCAGCTGTAGACACCAGGGGTTGGTGAAAACTAGGAAAAGCACGCTGTGAGAACCAGTCTGCCATAGGAATTTATAATAAAGAGAAATTGACTGGATAAAGATGTGGTTTTTCTATAAAATGGAATACTACTCAGCCATAAAGGATGGAGAAACTAGAGTCATTCATAGGAAAATGGACACATATTTAGGCCACACTCTTAAGTGAAATAAATAGGACACACGTGTAAATAATGAATATTTTCTCTGGTGTGAAAAACTAAAAGTGTAAATAAAACCCAAATTGTATAACTGATAATGTGAAATAGGAAGAAAAGGGCTAAAGGTGTAGGGGAAGTAGAAAGGGTAGGGGAAAGGAAAGAAGGGAAAAGAAAAAATATGAGAAAATGAAAAAATGGAAATAAAGTGTTTGTAAATGGAGGGAGGAAATAGGGTTAAGGGAGGGCAGGGGAATGGGGAAAAAATGAGAACCAAGACCTGTCATGCAAAGGTACAAGATCCCAATGATAAATGTAACTGTGCTGTATACTTAAAAAGTACCAATAAATTCATTGAGAAAAAGTAAAGAGAAATTAACATTTTCTTATTCTTTTTAAGCCTTTATGTCAGTGACGTTTATAGTGAATTTATCCATATACTCAGACAGCCAGGAGTTAAACATTTACCAGTGCCTCACAGCTTCTTTCTCAGGAGTTTCCCCTTGTCAATCTCATGAATGTCAAATCATGCTTTGGCCTCTGCATAGAGGATCTGAATCAACATATTTGGTAGGATGCATTTACAGTACTTTAGGAATATGGTTGAGGAACCTGAGAATTATAATGCATTTATCCATTTTTTTGTTTTTTGCTTTTGAGACAGGGTCTTACTATGTAGTTGAGACTGAACTGAACTCACTGTAGCCCAGGCTGGTCTCAAACTCGCAGCGGTCCTCCTGCCTCAGCCTCCTGAGTGCTGGGATTACAGGGGTGTGCCACCACACCTGGCCATTTATCCACTTTTTATAGCAGCCATCCCACTGTTTATTGTCAAATAGTGAAGGATTCAGGTATCTATCTATGCAAATGACCCTTACATCAAGGCTCACCAATATTTAGACTGATTGTTAGTCCTTTTTGGTCAATACCTTTCATCAATGTGTTGCTTTCTTTTATTTTGCATTCTCAGTAAGCTGTGGATACAAATGCATATATGGAGTTTTTATTCTGAAGCGGGGAAGAGCAGTGTGAGGAAGACGATGCTTAAAAATTAGTACACAGATTCAGAGACGGAAGAGGACCTATGCAACAGGCACTAAAACTCAAAAGAACACATTTACCCTCAGCCTTGAATACTTCAGTTTTTGCTATGGACTTTTATTCTCACTTTTCAGTTTTGAGAGATGCCAAAATGTTTATTACTTATTTTTCTGATTTGTGGAGGAATTACAGTTAATACTAAAACACATTCTCCCTGATAAGAATGGGGCTTAACTCAGAAGCATGATGATGTCTGTGTGAGTTGTAAGTCTGGATCACAGTGTCCTAACTGGGATCCAGTGAGGATCAACTGGGCTCATAATCAGACCTTTTCTATTATGTGCCAAGCATTCAACATATATGCTAGTTTGGGTCCTGTAAGATCAGATTTGGGGGAGCAAATTGGGAAAAGTAAAGAGGGGAGGGCATCACAGTAGTCAGGGAGGTCAAGGAAAACCGCTATTACATTTATTTATTTATTTTGAGTAGGGGGTCTCTCTGTGGTTTAGGCCAGCTTTGAAGTCACTGTGTAGCCAGGCTGGCCTCAGAGTCACAGCGATCCTCCTGCCTCAGCCTCCCTAGTGCTGGGATTACAGGTATGAGCCACCATGCCCAGCATGGTAAGGCCTTTAGACTTCAGTGCCAGTCTGATGTCTAGGTACAGAGAGGGAGGAAACAATGGTGGGGCAGAAGACCCTCGTGCCATCACCTCATTCTGAGAATGCTTGGGTTGGGCTGATGAGGAGGGAGGTCCCTGGGAAAATCTTACCCCTCAGACGAGCCCTGGCATGCAGGAATCACTCAGGACAAGCACCCCTGCCTGCTCAGTGCTTGGCTAGGAAAAGCCAGGACCAAGTGTGATCTCAGCTTCAATGCGATGGATCAGAAAAAGGGGCAGCTAGTGTCATCATTCACCTGAGCTTCTTGAAGCAAATCAACAGAGCCCTGAATGGGACACATCTGTGGCTGCATGATATGTAAAGAAGAGCAACAGAACAATAAGCTCTGTCTTCAAGGAATTGTTGGTTTCCCATTGGAGATCTGTGTTTAAATGCGAATGATCAAATGCTGATGTTGCCAGTCCTGTTCCATCCTCATAGGGGACACATCTTTACAGCTGTTCTGCCACCACCAGGAGAGGTTTTCTACGCTTGGTGGCTTTGTGACCTGCTGTACACTGGTTGGCTCTCTGATTGTAGGCACAGAGTTGTCATCAACGCAGGCTGAGGAGCTTTGGCATATGGAGCTGGCGATCACCTTTCTGACCTCTTTGGTCTGAATAAAGCATCTACCTAACTTTTGTTTTTTCTTGCTGTAGATTAACCTTTTTCTTGTAAAAAGTTTGAAATACTGATTTCTTGGGCTATCAGATTGTGAATCGGAGATTTTGTGGCCTGCAGCTGTAAGCATCCTGGGTGCTGCAGTTGATCAGCAGGCATCTGAACAGAGGAAAGTGAGAGACTTGGCATGGGCTTCATTAAGACCCTCATCCTTTTCAAGCCTACTAGACTAGGTGTATACCAGACATGGTGACCTATACAAAATACTGAAAGGGGATTTCAAAGACCCTGGCCTTAAAATTCTTGCATTAAAATATTATTTTTTCATTGAGTCACTGTACAGTTCTACAGTTATAGCTGTGGTCTGGCCACTTAGATTTGGATGTCTGTGTGGTTTATCATCTAAACTGAGACAAGTCTGAATATAAAAGGTAATTAAATAAAATTATACTGGAATAATAGCTGGATACCTGTCCCATCTCAGGCAAGCCAGGAGTACGTTCACTGATTGAACCTATGTTGCGGGTGACTTTTCTCCAACTGCCCCGGATCAGCTATTTGCAAACAGTTCCTACTTCTCCAGGGAACCAAGCATCCTGTGGGGAAGACTCAGAAAATAAGACAGAGTTCCAATTCTGGAGTCATCACCTTATCTTGTGATCCCACGTGTAGGACCCCTACCAGATATATCTGTTATAAGGGAGATGGATTCTTTCCAGTTCTCACTCCCTTTTTGGGTCAGGGAACTCTTAGGCATGTGCAAAACATTCAGCTCAGCATTGGCACAAGATCTCACAGGTCAGCCCCGCTGAGGGAGAGGAACAGTGAGACACTACCTATTTTATTCTATCCCCCAAGGGGTCAGTGGGATTGTCTCTGCAGTTCACTTAGAATATTTACCAGCTGCGCAGTGGCTTGGATTTGTCTTTTATAAATGAAAGGTAGAATATAAAATTGTGTGTGTGTATGTGTGTCAGAGTGGGCACTTATATGTGGTGGGATCTGGGAGCCAAAGACCACAGGATTGGAACAGGAATCCAAGATTGCATGACACTCACTGGTCTGCACATGTACGTGGAAATCATTATTTTGTTAGCTCAGGGTTTCCAACTGTTTACACAGATCAATAGAGAGTTAGGTCAAGGTCCGCCATTTTGATTTTGATTTGAAAAAAAAAATCTAGATTATTTTTTAAAAAATAAGAGTTTTTGAAAAAGCTTTTTAAAAAGCATTTTAAAATTTTCATTCATTGTCTAGGGAAATTTAGAAGTCTTTTGGGTTTTTTTACTTCATTGTTGATTTTTTTTTTTTTTTTTTGGTACTGGGGTTAGAACTCAGGTCTTTGCGTTTGCAAGGCAGGTAGCAGAACCACTAAGCTAAATCCCCAGCCTTTACTTCATAGTTGATAAAGGTACAGTTCTGGAAAGTGGGCCTAGAAGCCAAGGAGGAGACCACAGGAAGCTCCCTCTATTTCCTCCAGGTCCTCACACAACTTCCTGGCTGAGAAACACAGCGGCTATGTGGGTGTCTTTGAATATTCATTTTTAGGAGCAACTATCAAATGTTTCATTATAAGTACATTCTGAGAGTTTATTGTTTTGGCTATAGAAGGAAGAGAAGACTACTCCAAACATTAAAAGAGGTACTTTCTGGGGCACATGGAAAGCTGGAGAAATAATGTTCTGGTCATATGGATCATTTGCTATTGGTTTCCTTTTAAAAATAACTATTTTCCTAGTACAAAAAGACACAGTATCACTGAGAAACTTTGGAAAAAACAGGAGAACACACACACACACACACACACACACACACACACACACTCCGTCATCCCACTAGCCACTCACAAAAATTTCATTTTCTTCTCATCTTTATTTCATCTGTCTATCTATCTAAAGCTATATTTAAAAAATCAGATCATATCACAAGTTTTGCCTTTAAGCCCAGCATCTTGCCTTCTGGAAGGGAAGACCCAGTGCATGATTCCAGATGGGATGTAGCCCCATGGCCAAGACAAGAGGGTGTGAGGTGGCAGGGACTCTCCTCACTTCCTGGGATGCTCAACACACAATTCTTGTAGCATGCAGGAATGCTTGGCTGTGCCTGTCAGGTCACCGGGAATGTGGCTGGAATGATGGGAGAGCTTGGTTGAGTTTAACCCCATGAATCACATATTTTCACCTCAGCACATGCTGATAGACAAAGAAATGTGGAGACCCATACTCTGCCATCCAGCAGAACGCATTGCCAACATTCCTCTGTTGGGGGGGTGTCTCAGGGGCTGTCCCCACTTTAGAAAGGAAGAAGTCCTGAACCTCATAGCTTATTCTTTGGCCCCAAGGTTCTGCTCCTGTGAGGCAGGTGCTGGTCCTGTACTCAGGGGGACATTGCATGTCTTCTCCCGGAAGACACCTTTGCCTACAGGTTCTCCTCTCAGGGGCTTCCTTGACTTGAACAAGAAAGCGAGGGAAAGGTCACTCTACTCTTCTATCTGACTGTGTATCCTCCCAGAACTGAGATCTTTTTATTGAACTAGTTTTTCACACACACACACACACACACACATACACACACACACACACACACACACGTCAAGCCAACTCTGAAATATAATGTAGTCTCATATGCTGGGGACTGTAACAACGAAGAGGTGAGGAAGAGATTTTTTTTTTTCCAGTTCATCAAGATTTAAGTAAAACAACTTCATTTTTGTTTATACTTTAAAAATGCTTACCCACTTCTATAAGTCACCGATTCCTGATAGCGACTGATTTCTCTCCAGGGGACTTCTGTTTAACAAAGTGTTGGAGGAGATCTTATCAACAGCTAGTGTTTTGATGCCACAGATGCTGCTAAACATCTTACAAAGCATAGGACAGAGCTGGGTGTGGTAGTGTAATCCCACAACTCTGGAAGGATGAGGCAGGAGGATCACAAGTTCCAGCCCAGCCTGGACCACTTAGTGACTTAGTGAGACCCTGTTTTAAAATAACAATGATAAAAGAGCTGTGGATGTTTTGGTTTAAATCCCAATACCACCAAACAAGCCAACCAACCAGAAACAAAACAAACAAAAATAGACAACAAAAGAAAGAAAAAGAAAAAAAGAACAGAAACACAAGACAGCTATCCCTTCATAGCAAAGAAAGATCTAACCCTAAATGTCAGAATTTTTGATAAGCCCTGTGAGAAGCACTGCACAGACTCATCTGGCAAATTCTAGTCCAGATTGTAGCAAGACTGAATGAGTGGTTGTTATTAAACTTGGCTCGGTATCTTCTGATGTTTCGACGCATTAAAAAGTTTGCTGGCAGGGAAGAGATTCCCCTTCCCAGGATTAGCCCTCAGAGACAGCAATAGGCCCAGCCAATCTCCAAACCAACCACTCTCACACCTTATTCATTCCACACTCCAGCCATTATTTCCCATGCCGTAAAGCATCCTGGAACCGGTTACCAGGCAACCAGAAACCATGCCTGGAGGATACTACATCCTGAGGCTCCCGAACTGCTCAAGCTGGCCAGTCTTAAGCTTCACTTTTTCCTGCCTTGGCTTTCTCCTAGGCTCTTGCCACCCCAGGCTGTGATTTAAACTTCCCCCTAGTTTCTGTCTGCTGCTACCTGGACACAGCCTCGCGCTTCCCCCCGGGATCTGCAAGAGACTGGGGCATCACATCCAGCACACAATTCTTACAACCGTAGGTGATGAAAGCAATTCAGTTCTCCCTCTTCACATCTGGCATATTTCTGGGAAACCTACTTTAAAAATAGCGGCACAGAAACAATCCACATACTTTCTCAGGGCGCTTCTTCCCTGGCGATATTCCTCCAACTCCCGGTAACAAGTCTGTTTGCTGATTTCTTTTTCCCAGAAGCTTTTGAGCTCATCACACGTCTCACAGCAGAAGACTTCCCGACGGATATATTGATTATTCATCGCTGGAACATAAGAGACAAAGCAAATCCTAGCCATTCAGATAAAGCCATGCCAATTTCAGATGTTTGAATCCAGATACTGCCATATAACCTTTCTTGTGTATGCGTGTGTGTCTGTGGACATATCACATTATGGATCTGTTTGCTCAGTGCAACTGAGGATAGTAGCAGTTACATCAGAAAGCACTGTGAAGTTTTTTGAAATGAACAAAGATAAAAAAGGTAGATGGCAACTCTTTGCAGATTATCCAGCACTACAGTAGAGCTGCCCCTTTTACTGTCTTGTGCTGTTGTACAATTCTGAAAGTTATAGATAAATCATAGTGATCTGCAGATCAAACCAAACATTTTTTGGTTTTTTGAGACAAGGTCTTGCTATGTAGTTCAGGCTGGCCTTGAACTCACTATGTGGCTGGCCTCAGACTTGTGTCGATCCTCCTGCTTCAGCCTCCTGAGTGCTGGGATTACAGGTGTGCAAGGAAAGAAGCGTGCTTGGCTTGCAAATGGTTCTTGAACCTAGAAATTCAAATAAATTTTGTCCGGTGACATACAAGGGATAATCCCATGCTTATCAGTCCAGTTGTCATCTGTAAAGGCATTTGAGTGATTATTTAAGTGTTTTTTTGAATTCCCCTTGTACTATCACTTGTACTGTCATACCAGTTTTCTAATTATTTCTAAGTAAAACAAAATCTTTGACACATGTTTATTTTACATCTGTACTAGATTTGTGATTCTAACTTTATTAAAGATACCCTTTAATATACTTCATAGTTTGTGTATGTAGTGTGTATAAAATGAGTAGATCGCCAAAAACCCTCAACTGAAAGCAGAGCTAATAATAAGAACTCAGTTGTTACGCTTTTCCTGCCCGCCCTCAAAGGATAACAACAATCTCTGCCATTTATTGAGCACCTAGTGAGTGCTGGGTGTTCTAGACATGTTATTCCATGTTCTCCTCACGGCACCTGTGAGAGGGATTATTCTACACTGATATTCAGATGAAGGGATCGGAGAGACGGGATTTGCCGTCACTGAAAATGGCATCATCACCGAGAACACAGGAGCCAGAGTTTGAACTGAGGTCTGTTCACTCTTCATAGCAGATGCTCTTTGTTCTACATGTCCTCGTCACAAATGGCTTGGGAATGGCTATGTCCACACCAGACTCATTGGGCATTGTGTGTCCATGGCCAGTGAAAGTACACATACTTCCCGGTCGAGACTGATCACTGCCTAACGTTTACACAGTCAGTTTGTTGTGGCTCTATCCGGCAGGGAGACTACAGACCAGGTCTCCTCTGCCTGTGGGAGCACCTACTTGGAGAATGGCATCGACTCTGGCTGGAGGTTGGAGGAGGACTTGGTTTCTTCCTCCCCTGTGCAAAGTCTCAGGGATGCCAGTCCTGCTGTGTTTTCCTGGGTTGGCCCAAGGGACTGGGTGTGGGACAGGAGGTTAGAAAAGGCTGCTGGGAATAAATAACAGCATTTCATGTTTATTATACATAATAATTTATATTTATATGATATCACATATATAATAGAATCTGATGCCTTTAGCAGAAGCAACCCTCCCCATTTGAGGGGAATAACATGTCTAAATGTGCTAATGTGGCAAGAAGCTTGGAACTGACAGCAGTTTGGTGTGTTCTATAAAGTTATAAAAAGCCTGCTTCCCTTACTCTTCCTCCTGGACCCATTTCCTAATCACCTGTCCTGGGCAAACCTGTGCCAGGAGCATGTGGGAGGGTGGTTGTGGTGATGTGGGTCAAGTCAGGGATGACAGAAGAAGCTTGAGGGTGCACAAAGGGAAACAGAACATTTCCCAGGTGCCTACTCTCCACCGTGTAATCCATGTTCTTGTAACTCGTGGCCATTTGAGAGCCATTGCTTTCTCCTTTTATGGAGTTTTTATTCTAAAATTTTAAAAATTAATTTATTTTAACTTGGAAGTAGAAGTTGTATTTACTCATCACGTCCAACATGGTAGGTTGATTTGCAAAGGTGTTGCCTTTGCTGAGGCCACACAGGTGGAGGTGGCTGGAAAGCCCACACTCTTCCCACCACGAACAGATAAGTCCCTGGAAAGAAGCTTGGCTTTGGTTTCCTCTCTGCTTGGGAGCACTCAGAGACCTTGCCTGTGACTGATACACACAGCAGTTTTGGTGACTTAGTGCTGGTCACATTTCTTTCTTTCTTTTTTTTTTTTTTTTTTTTGGTACCAGAGATCAAACTTGGGAGCTTGTGCTTGTAAGACAGGCAGCAGAACCACTGAGCTAAATCCCTGGCCCTTGGTCAAGTTTCTTTCTTTCTTTTTTTTCATTTTTGGTACATTTCAGGTATACAGTACGGTTACATTCATCATTGGGATCTTCTTTACATGATATATCTTGGTTCTTATTTTTTCCCCATTCCCCTTGGTCAAGTTTCTTGAAGAAAGGGACTCAGTCTTTTGTTATTTTTGCTGCCTTGAAGGTGTTTAATTATTCTTCATTAACTTAAATGGCCCCTTTCCAAATTGTTTTCATAAAAAAAATCTACCTGGAAATGGTGATTGCAGCTTTAGGGTGTCTCAGACAATGAGACAAGTCAGAGAAGAGGTTGTTTTTGTACTTTCTGGGTAAGAGAAGTTGACTCTGGTGCTCTCTGCAATCTTACCTGGCAAGGCCCGTGGCTGGGCTGACCCCCATTTTTGACCCCTATACACACTCCTGTCTTCTAAGAGCAACTCCCATACATTTCCTTACCTAGGCTAGTGATTCAATGTGAAGAAATTAAATACATTTCTAGACATTGAACACTGGAAGAGAAACTATATATCAGATTTTACATTTTCATTTATAGCATCCAGGGCTGGCATGCTTGTTCCTGTGTAGCAGTGAGATTCCCTGTGGGGTTTGTTCTCCAGGGGTATCTAGACTCTACATTTCCAGAGGTACAAGCGAGAGACTTAAAAAAAAAAAAAAAAAAAGTTCTTGCTTTGACCTGGGCGGAAGGACTCAAAAGCACAACTTGCAATGCACGCAGGCAAAAATAATACCCCTCTAGTGAATGATTTTACCCGCAGATTTGTTAATTACAAAATTCTCCTAAAAATTTCAAGTTTATGTTAGACATCTGCTATTCAGAGAAAGAATAGTGTGGTCAATAGATACACAAATTTTTTTCCCCTCTCAAAAATTAGTATTTTAAATTAAAGCGCACAGAGGTCAGCGCTGGGTAGAGGGAGGCTCTGCTCCTTTTTATCAGTCTGGAGGGTGGGGTCTGTGTTCCTCACAGCCGGCACCGCTGTTGCCGAATCAAGAGCTGAGGTACATAAGATGGCTGAGAGTGGAGGGGCGCCCACACCCCCAAATAGTGAACTGAATCCGAATGAGCTCAGGCAGACGCTCTGCAGGTCTTGTCTCTGAAGGCCTCCTATTGTCTTTGGGTCACCGAGCTCCTGGGGGCGTCGGGTTTTCTAGGAGGAGGCTGAAGCAATGGCCTTGACCTTTGGGAGGATTTGGGAAAGATGTTGCACTCAGACGCCCCTAGCGGCCGGGCAAGCGAGCTGCAGAGAAACAGGAGGCCTGGGCGATGCCCTGTGAGCTCAGCTTCCTGAGCTCAAATTCAGACAGGAGTCCGCGCCACACCTCCACAGAGAGCACGGCCTTGCTGGGCCACCCGCGGCTGCCCACCTTGCTCCTCGCTCCTCCCAAAGGTGACGCCTTCCACTGGCCTCTCCAGCCCTATACCTTTCTTCCTAACCTGTCCTCAGAGCTGCCTCCCCGGGTTCTCTCTTCAAGGGGTCTCCGCATCGTTTTGCTCTGCCTTCCTCCTTCCCAGAGTCCATAGAGGATTCAGATTCTGCCCTGGCTGCGCAGAGCTGGGTCAAGTCCTCCACGTGACCCCGAGCAAACCAGCCCTTCGCTTGCGCTGGGCCCTGCTTTTATTATCCACCAAGCCGAGACTCAGAGCGGTAACGTGCTGCGGATCATCCCAGGAAGTCCCCCCGGCCACCGAGCTCCCAGGGCGCCCAGTCGCTTGCCCTGGCCTCACGCAGCAAGCATCGAAAGTGCGATCTGACCTTGAACTACCATCCAAACACGCTCGCACTGTCCGAATGCTTTGCTTCTGAAGGACCCCGCCTATATTTCAGGTTTATTTGTCTCGGTGCTGGGCTGTACGGATTAGAAAGCCCAAGGCCACAGGAAGGGTGGCTTCCCATCTTGTCCAAGGCCAGGCTTGGCGGGTGGGCAGAGAAGCCTTTAGTAAAGCTCCGGGGTTTGAGGCTTGTCCTTCTACCACTTAGAATCCGGTCTTTGTGGGCTGTCTGTGGTCTGGCCCCACGAAGGCGTTCTCTAAGTGATGCTGAACATGTCCGGAAGTGACTCGTCTGCCTCGAATTGATAGTGGCCACTAAGCCACGGTCTGGCTCAGTCTGCCCCGTGACTTCTCAGTCTAGCTGCTTGTTTTGCTAGAGGTGACTGGGAAAGCTGGACTTCAGCTTTTAGGGTCATGACAACTTTCATAAGAGGAGATGCATTTTTGACTTAAATGAGCTGTGCCGCCCTCTCTCCCATTTTCTCCCCATCCTGTTTCCTTGTTTTACATTTACTGCTTTCATTCAAGGAGTGCATTCACTCTGAGCAGTGTGGTCGGTGCTGCTATCAGCTGCCTTTGGATTCTAGAGAAGTGATAGCAATTTAAAAAACAAAATAAAATACAATAGAACATATGGGATGTTATACATAGGAATTCCAGAATATAAAATAAGGCAAGACACAGGACTAAAAGATGTCCTGTGGGGAAACTGATAGAAAATCCAGGGGCACTGACTCTGGCCCAGGCAGAGAAAAACCATCCACTGTGTGCAGGTGCAGCCTCGGGGTCACCTATGAGGGAAAGGCATTGCTTCTCCAGTAGTTCCTCTGTGGGTTGGGGAGAAGGGGAGGCTGCTGCGGTCTCTTGTGGGATGGGTCACAGAAATAAGAAATCCTAAGGAATGTGCAGGCGCCCACA